AAGGACAGTCTTGCATCGGTGTGGTGAACCGTGGAAAGAAGGGGTTGGCCCATCCGGGCGTGGCTCAGCCGTTGAGCATCAACCTAGGATCCAGGAGATCGGGATTCGATTCCCGGTCAGGGTACATGCCCAGGTTGTGGGCTGCAGCCGATCAATGACTCTCTCATCATTGATGTTTCTATCTCTCTGTCTCTCTCCCTTCCTCTCTCTGAAATCAATAAAGATATATTTTAAAAAAATAAAAAAAGAAGAAGGGGTTGATGAGGGACAGAGATGTATATATGACCAACAGTGCTTACCATAATGCCCTGGGAAAAGAAACTTAAAGTTGCACACTACTTGGTTATATCCAGTGCCGAATTTGTATGGATGGGTACTTGGAGATTGAATTGAGTAGACGACACATTTACTCTTCAGAATGTGGCCACATCTTTTGTAGTCAGTGTCTCTGCACTTCCCTTAAATATACTAAAAATTGCCCAGTTTGTTTGAAAAAAATTGACTGCCATCAGTACCACTGCATTTATATGTGATGTGTACTGTGTTACTCCCTGACTGGGTTTTTCTATGTCCTTGCGCAGAAATTATGGAGTTGTTCTGTATTCAAAAAGCCTGTATGAAAACTCTTTTATTGCTCACAAACAATGAGACTGCTTTTTTTTTTTTTTTAACATATATCTTTATTGATTTCAGAGAGAGGAATGGAGAGGGAGAGAGAGAGAAACATCAATGATGAGAGAGTCATCATTGGCTGGCTGCCTCCTGCTTGTCCCCAACTGGGGATCAAGCCCGCAACCTGGGCATGTGCCCTGATGGAGAATTGAATCACAATCTCCTGGATCTTAGGTTGATACTCAACTGCTGAGCGATGCCGGCTGGGTGGGACTACTTTTTGATTCCTTTAATTTCATGCTGCAGGCCTGGACTTTTGTTGTTATACTGAATCAGAGACTAGTGATTGTCCTTAAAGCAATTTTCCCTTTTTTTCTCATAGTAATAAATTTTTAACTGGCCACATGGGGACATTTTGGATCATGTAAATAAGAGCAGCATCCTAGAGATGGTGGAGCCACACCCACTCGGGCGACACATTCTCTTTTTTAAGAATTAAAGCAAGCCCTGGCTGGGTAGCTCAGTTGGTTAGAGTGTCATCCTGATATAACAAGGTTGTGGGTTTGATCCTGGGTCAGGGCACATACAAGAATCAACCAATGAATGCATAAATAAGTGGAACAACAAATCTATGTTCCTCTCTTTCCCTTCCTCTCTAAAATCAATAAAAATAAATAATTAAAAAAGAAGTGATGCAAGAAGTTATTAATAATGACACCTACTATTTTTTAAGCAATAGCTATGTTCCAGGCACAATACTAGGCATTTCACACATTACAGCCAACGTATACACCAAGGCAAGAGCAGGAACCCAACAAAATATAAGAGCAGAGGTTGAAGGGAGCTGCCACATGGCACTTAAGGTGAATAATTTGGTGATTAGTGTACACGGTTGTGGGAAGAAGTGAGAAAGTGGCCACATCATGAGTAGAGCACTGTGTTATGAAGTTTAGATTTTATTCTACAGGTGCTAAGACGTCATTAAAGGCTTGTGAGCAGAGCCCCCAGAGAAAGATTCTTAAGGATCAAGCATGATCTCAGTGAAGGCCGAAGATACTGTTTGAAAGTTGGGGGGAAAATATAGAGATGGGATTAGGAAGGAAAGACCCTGGTGTTGATTCTCCTCTAAAAATAGGAGGAAGTAACCTTGGTCTAAGGAATTTAACTGGTACTCTCCTGCCCTTGGATGCCTAGCAGTTTCATTTTAGCACAGCCAGCAGAGCTGTACAAGCCTTTGAGCTGTGGTAGCTCTTGAGAGATGGTCGATCTGAGGTGGCAATGATAGGAATCCAGGGGGACAGCTGTGGCAGTTTGAATTTAGCTTTCAAGTAAACAAAAAAGTGGAAGCTCCTTTGGTGAGAGTGGAAATGAGATTAGGTGAGGTGGAAAATCAAATTTATCCACTTAATGCCTGACCTAGCTTTAGGCCCAGATAGTCCCATAGTGAGATAATCCGGCAATTTGTCATTTCCTGATGCTCATTGAGAGGTTACAGCAGAGAATGAAAGCTAAATCAAGGCAGTATTTAATATGGGCCCTTTCCTACCCCCTTAGCTTTCAGCAGGCAAACAGATCCTACAGGGCATATTCCCTTCTCCTGTGGAGTGTCATGAAGAAGGCATGTGGCCCTAGGTGTGGCTCTGTCAGCATCACTGACTCTCTAAAAGGAGGGCAGAGGGGCTGCCAGTGGGTGGGACAGGATAGAGGTAGGCAGATACCCAACCACTTGGCTTCCCTGCTGAGAAGACAGCCTATAAAGTACCAACTTCTCTCTTTGTTTTTGAATAAGTTCAAGCCACAAAAATAGCAGCTTCTCTATTCTGCAATCAGGAGAGAGAAGGTGGTGCACCCTTCTTGGGGAATGCCCACTCCAATCTCATTTTCAAGTGAATTTTCTTTCACCTAAACTCTTGATAATCCCTAGGAGACTTGCAACCAGGGAAGCAATGGGCAGTGGAAGCTTGTCCTGGGCTTATCCCCTGAACCTGTCTCCAAGGCCTCCTTTTCTCTGACTTCCCAGTGAGCTGACAGCAGCCCACCTTGGCTCATTGCTTTCCTATAACATTTCTAGAGAGACAAAACCACTCCGACTAGCCTCTCCTGTTGCTTCTTCTATCCTAGACCCTTCCTTGTTTCACTGTCCCTAGATTTAATAAACATACTCTTTAAAAAAAAAAAGATGGGAGGGAGAGAAGGTACAATGCATTGCTGGGCATGGGCCAGTCATTAATTCATTCACTCATCTGCTCATTTACCTGGTACTTATTAAAATTTGATAGTGCGGTAGGCTCGTGTAGTTAAAAAGATAAACAAGACAATCCTTTTCTCTAAGAAGCTGCCAGATAGTGGGGAAGAGATATGAAAACAAATAGTTATAACACAATGAAAGAAATAATGCACTGTAACAAAAGCTATGATAGAAAAATCTGCTAGGTGTTGCATAAAAGAAGTATAAAAGAGAAGATAACTGACTTCTCTGTAATTTCCGTGGAGTCTAGTAAGATGGAAAATTGAACTTTTAATTTATACTCAGCTCTGTTGGAGTCCATGAAAATTAATAGCTACTTACATTTCTTGTTATATTTTAAGTCAGAAAGTTAATTTGAGGGAGCAGAACTTTTTTTGTAAACTATATGCTATACTAACGTTAGTACAATAATAATAATAATAGCTATTATCATTTATTGGGTTCTCATTATGTGCCAGATACTGTTAAATACTTCACACATATCATTTCATTTAATCCTCGCAATGATCCCATGAGGTAGGTGTTTTCATCTCTATTTTATATATGATAAAATTGAAGCTTGGTAAAGAAAAGCAACTTTGGTCTATAACTCTTTTTCCCCCCTACCTATTACATGGTAAAAGCTGGTATATGTAGTTTCTTAGACATCACTGTCCACTGCCTCTCCCCAACTTTGTTTTTAAATAATGAAATAAATATTTAAAATTCCCCTTTGTAAAATTTGGAACCTCTTGCTATGCTGTTTTTGGAATCGCAAACTTTAGAGGTAGAAGGGGAGTCTTAGGAATTCATATTTTACAGATGGAAGAAATGATGCCCAGAGGAGTTACACGTCTTAGCCAAGGTTAGTCATTGCTCTGATGGGAGACAAGGCTTTTGTCTTCTAGGCCAGTATTCTCCTGCCTGGGCTAGAGGCTCTAGAATGTGCAGACTCCAAGATTTAGTACAATAATCTTTACTAAACATTGTTAATCATTTTAGCCAATAACAAAATTATTCGATATGAAACCAAATTAATTTTTTAACCTAGGGACATAGTTTCTAGGTGAGCATCAGCATTTCATAGCCATTTACTTGACAAGAGATTTGATCCAATGAATGCCACATACTATCAAAGTGAGCAAGACATAGCACTACCCAGCAATTCACAATTTAGTGAAGGGGAGGACATGCAATCAAAATGTAAAATAATTATTTCCTCGTATGTACAAAGATCTAGGATGCTATAGAAATGTGTAAAGCAGTGGTTCTCAACTGGGGGTAGGCCCTACCCCCACACCCTCAGCAGATATTTGGCAGTGTCTGGAGGCATTTTTGATTGTCACAAATAGGGGGTTGCTACTGGTGTTTAGTGAGCAGATGCTAAGCACCCTAAAATTCATAGGACAGCCCCTCCCCCTACACCCACCAAACACTTTGCCAGCCCAAAATGTCAATAGGGCTAAAGTTGAGAAAGTCTGGCATAGAGCCAGCAAAATATTTTCTATAAGAAATAGGGGAGTGTAAAATTTGGGTGCCAGTTACAGCAGAGTTTAATGAAGAGATCATGATTGGGTTTGGGGGAGGGTAATCCCCAGCAGAAGGGACAACCTGTGCAAACCACAGAAGCATGGCATATTTGGGCAATCACAAACACGGCAGGAAGAGTTGTGGACATTAAGGCTAGACAGCTAGGCAGGAGCTAGGTAGATATTCAAGAAAATATACTGAGCTAGAGAAATTACTATTAAGAAAAGCTATTTGGTTCCGTGATGATCACTCAGGAGCACAGTCTAGCTATGTATCTCTGTGAGCTAAAAACTGAAGAAGAAAGCTGTTTGAAATGAGGCTTTTCTCATCTTGCTTCCTTAGGGCCTGGGATTTTCCAGGCATTTGTTACTTTCTCCGACATAAGAGTAGGAGCTCTTTCAATGGAATGTGAGCTCTGAGAGGTAGAATAGCTCTCTATTAAAGCCACTTAACTGGGGTCTCAATGCTGTGGTGAGATCATGAGGGATGAGAGGGTTATTTCTCATGTGTTAGGCTTATGGACAGAAGATGATTATTTCTTCTTTTGTACAGCACCCTAGTTCAGAAATGGGGATATGTGAACCTTAAGATTAGACTGCCAAAAAGAAAATATATTAGACAGCCACCTGATATCTAAATGAGCTGCCCCCTATAAAAAAAGGGTGGGCAGGTAGGCCATTTCAGTCAGGGTTTTTCTTTCTTGTAAGCTAATGATCAAAACAACTGACAAACTGTCACGGAACCTGCCAGACATCACTCTCGCTTTGCCCCTTCTCCCCAGCTCCTGAACTTTTCCTCCTCCTGTCATGCTCTGAGCCCATTCTTAGCAAGCTACCAGGTCCTAGACCCTGGTCTGAAGCCATCCTGAGCCTGTTGAACTCTATTTCAAGTGCCTGCTTCTGACCCTGGTGTTCTGATGATAGAGCTTAATGGAGGTGAGTTACTTTTCTCTAACTCAGCTGGCTTTCTAGGTGTAATTTGGAAAACCCAATCAGAAGGGGGTATGCATTTTAGAGCATGAAAGGAAATTCAGGGAAATATTTAACTGTGACAGCTTATACCATCTATACTCTCTCCAGGTATTGGAATAACCAAGAATTTTTTATTTTAATTTAAAAAAAAATATATCTTTATTGATTTCAGAGAGAGGAAGAGAGAGGTAGAGAGAGAGATAGAAACATCAATGATGAAAGAGTCATCATTGCTTAGCTGCCTCCTGCATGCCCCTGACTGGGGATCCAGCCTACAACCCAGGCATGTGCCCTGACTGGGAACCGAACTGCAATCTCCTGGATCCTAGGTCGATGCTCAACTGCTGAGCCATGCCCGGCCAGGCAGGAATAACCAAGAATTTAGATAAGAGAGGTTGCAGTAAAGTAATGAAACTCACAATAAACTTTTGAGAAAATTAAATTAAATTCTATAAAAATTTACTTTCCTAATTAATGTATCACTTTATTTTAGATTGAAAAAAATTATTATGTATAATTTGATTTGCTCGTTATACCATCACATTTTATGTTTTATATTAAAAACAAAGTTGATTTCTGAGGTTAAACATTTTTAACTGAGTTTCTTTAAGATCCATTCAGAGCTAAAATAAAGCAAGTAATATTCTGAACTAACGGTTCTCTTGATACATAGACAGAAGAAAATTTTTATTTACTATAAGAAGGCTGGAAAAGGTCACTAAAATCCATCAACAAGAAATTTTAACAGAAGTCCTTATGTAATGAGTTATCATTTCCATCAACTTCTACATCTTATAAAATTTGTTTTAAATGTATATTAATCACTAAGATGAGGCTCTAATTTCCTTGATTATGGGAACTTTTTTTCTCTTCTTCTTCTCTGCCCTTAACTGTTGAAACAGAGTTATAGGTATTTTTTAAATAACTTCTAGAGAGAGAAAAATAAACACTGTTGCCTCTTCCTACTACACTCTTATTAAAGCAAAGTCAGTAAAAAGACATACTTCTCCATAATAGTAAAAAAACAGTTTGTGTAACAGTGAGCTTCCCACAGGACCCTACAGGACACCTACTACATTAGGCCACTCTACCAAACCTGGGAGTTGTAGCAATTCTACCTAATACATAGAAACAAACACAGGGAGGCTGCCAAACTGAGGAGACAAAAAACATGTCCCAAATGAAAAAACAGAAAACTCCAGAGAAATAACTAAACGAAATGGAGACAAGCAATCTACCATATGCGGAGTTCAAAACATTGGTTATAAGGATGCTCAATGAACTTAGTGAGAACTTCAGTAGCATAGAAAAGAACATGGAAACCATAAAAAAGAACCAGTCAGAAATGAAGGATATACTAACTGAAATAAAGAATAACTTACAGGGAATCAACAGTAGAGTAGATCAATCTGAGAATCAAAACAGCGATTTGGAATATAAGGAAGCAAAAACACCCAATCAGAACACCAAAAATAAAAAAGAATCCAGGAAAATGAGGATAGTGTAAGGAGCTTCTGGGACAACTTCAAGCGTATCATTTGCATCATGGGGGATACCAGAAGGAGAAGAGAGGGAGCAAGAAATTGAAAACCTATTTGAAAAATAATGACAGAAAACTTTCTTAACCTGGCGAAGGAAATAGATATAAAAGTCCAGGAAGTGCAGAGAGTCCCAAACAAGATGAACCCAAAGAGGCCCACACCAACACACATCATAATTAAAATGCCAAAGGTTAAAGACAAGGAGAGAATCTTAAAAGTAGCAAGAGAAAAGCAGTTAGTTACCTATAAGGGAGCTTTCCTAAGACTGTCAGCTGATTTCTCAATAGAAACTTTGCAGGCCAGAAGGGAGTGGCAAAAAATATTCAAAGTGATGAAAAGCAAGGACCTACAACCAAGATTACTCTACCCAGCAAAGCTATCATTTAGAATCAAAGGACAGATAAAGAACTCCCCAGACAGAAAAAAGCTAAAGGAGATCATCATGAACAAACCAGTATTACATAAAATGTTAAAGGATCTTCTTTAAGGAGAAGAAAGCTCTAGCCAGTTTGGCTCAGTGGTTAGAGTGTTGGCCCACAGATTGAAGGGTCTCATGTTTGATTCTGGTAAAGGGCAGGTACCGCAGTTGCAGGCTCCATCCCCAGCCCCAGGCCGAGTGCGAGTGGCAGCCAATTGATGTTTCTCTCTCTCTCCCATCAAAAGCAAAGAAAGTCTGAGAAAATGTTACAGCCCAGAGGAGCTTAAGCAGAGAAGGCAACTAAAAAATGTAACGTGATAGCCTGGATGGGATTCTGGAACAGAAAAAGGATATTATGGAAAAACTTAGGAAATTGGAATAAAATATGGAGTTTAGTTAATTAAAAAAAAAAGAAAATGACATAGACCATTTTGTTGTAGTAGTGATCATGTGAAACACATAACCTTTGTCCTCGGAGTTCCAGTGTGGTTTCTGTACTATATCTGTGCCAAAACTGCCACTGTACAAAAGAGATGAGCAAGTCAGCATGCTAAATGTACTTACTCCCCACCACATAACCAACAGTATTCTGATCTAGATTTATTTGCTATGAATTTTGGGCTGCATTCAGCAGGAAAAGATGGTCTGAGCAAACATATATAATAAGCCTATACCAAAGGTGAGCACAGCTCCACATATATGTACAGGGTGGAGCAAAAGTAGGTTTACAGTTGTGAGTATGCAAAACAGTTTATTCTTTTATTATTTATAATTATTGTATTATTTCCATATGAACAACTGTAAACCTCCTTTTGCCCCACCCTGTACAATAAAAAAAGTTGTTTTCTGGAAGTTTGCCACAGAAGGAAGTCCTAAACAACTCAGAATTCAAGTACAAGGCCAACCTTGTTTAATCTGGTGATACAATTCCCTTCAGGATTCAGAGCATGAAATTGCTTATAAGAAACATAAACAGTAGCAGCGCATAAAACTGCAGTGAAATTTAACATTGTCCCAAACAAGCACTTTTCTGGAGCTAATGTACCACTGATATAAGGCAAAGCAGGGTCAACAAGGTGGAGAGTGAAAGCAGCAGCCATCCAAATTACAAGGGCTGAAGGATGGAAACTGAGGCCTTCCTGAAACTACCACATCTCAAACGAGTCTTTGTTATTAGTTTGATTTTACCTTGCTCACTAAACTTTAAGTTTTGTGAGAGCAGGAACCAACTGTTTTGTCCACCATTATATTTCCAGCTCCTGTTTTAAAGTTCACAAAGTATCAATCTTCAAATCTGCCCAAATCTGCACCTTTTGTAAATCCTATGTTCTCTGCTTTCTTTGAGGATCCATGAATTGGAACGGCAATTACAATTTTTAAATTTCACAAGTATTTAAATACCACTGGTAATGAAATGAATTCCTTATGCTGTCCCCTCTCAGTGGTGACTGCTTGCTAGGATGCGCCACCAGGGCTGGCTTCTGGGTCTGGAGTCTGTGGGCTGTTGAACAGCCAATGAAATAGGTCAGAAGTGCACCTGTATTTTAACCAATTTTAATTGGTTATATGGCAAAACACTAAAACAATCCAATTGGCTATTAATAGTAAAATGAAGAAATACAGTTTCATCAGTAAAATATCATATAACAATAAAAATGAATGAAATTCAGCTATGCACATTGACATAGGTGAATCTCAAAAGTTCATGTTGATAAATCTATTAAAGGCATAGTTATAGCACATCACCCCCACCTACAAAAATGATAATTCATATCGCTGAGATGTAATGAGCTCTACTTTTACCTAAGAAAGCAAAGCTGGGTGGGTAAAAGAAGGCTAATTAAACATTACCCTGGAAGCAGGTTACCAATTCCTAGCCCTACACTGTACTAGTTACCATGATGACATAAATATGACTGCTGTATTGAATTATTTTATTTTATTTTAAAATATATCTTCATTTATTTCAGAGAGAGGAAGGAAGAGGGAGAGAGAGAGATAGAAACATCAAAGATGAGAGAGTCATTGATTGGCTGCCTCCTGCACGCTCCTCACTGGGGATTGAGCCCACAGCCCAGGCATGTGCCCTGACCGGGGACTGAACCTTGATCTCCTGGATCCTAGGTCAATGTTCAACCATTGAGCCACGCCCAGCCGGGCTGTATTGAATTATATTTTTTAAATGTCATGCTGAGTAAATAAAACAAGGCACAAATATATAAAATATGATTTTGTTTATATAAACATCAAAATTGGTAAGAAAGACATGATCAACACAAAATTCAGGATAGCGATCATCTCAGAAATAGGAGGAGGGGCATTTAGGTGGTAGGGAATATATGGAAGACTGTTGGGAATGTTCTATCTCCTTTCATGGCTGTTTATCTATTAATAATTCAATAGCATATGATTTTTTTCCATGCTGCTTTCTGTATTTGTGTTATGCTTAAAAATCAAAAAGCTTAAAAATAATTTTAAAACTTTGTTCATTGAAAGATATCACTAAGTAAGTAAAATGGCAATCCACATAGTGGAAATTGGTATTTGGAATATGTGTACCTGATAAAGAACTTATATTTAGACTATGTGAAGAACTTTTGTGAATAAATAAGACAAATCAACAATAAAATATGTGCCTTGTATGGGCACTTCACAAATGGGGAAATCAAAATGCACAATTAACATCTGAAAATGGTCCCAATAGTCATAGTCATCAGGTAAATGCAGATTAAAGCCACAATAGAATGCTACTGGTACCCACCAGAATGGGTAAAATGAATATACCTATACTAACTTTTGACAAAGATATGGGGAAACTCTAGTGGCATTGTAAACTGATACAACCATTTAGAAAAAGTATGGCAATATCTACTAATCTGAATATATGCCAATCCTATGATCCACTCCGTGGTATATACCCAAGAGAAACGTATATATATATAGAACAACATGGATAAACCTCACAAATGTAAGGCTGACAAAAGAAGCCAGCAATAAAGAGTACATATTGCATGGTTGCATTTATTTTTTAAAATATGTCTTTATTGATTTCAGAGAGAGGAAAGGAGAGGGAGAGAGAGAGATAGAAACATCAGTGAGGACCGAGTCATTGATTGGCTGCCTCCTGCATGCCCTCTACTGGGGACTGAGCCCAAAACCCAGCATGTGCCCTGACCGGGAATGGAACCCCAATCTTCTGGATCATAGGTCAATGCTCAACCACTGAGCCATGTGGGCCAGGCACATGGTTGCATTTATATAAAATTCAAATACACGCAAAAGTAATGTTTAGTGTTGGAAGTCACTGAACTGCATAATTAAGATTCTACAGATATTAGCAAATCAGATCTAGCAATATATTAAAAAGATCATACACCATGACCAAGTGGAATTTATTCCAGGGATGCAAGGCTGGAACAATATTTGCAAATCAATAAACATGATACATCACATAAACAAATTGAAAGATAAAAATCATATGATCATATCAATAGATGCAGAAAAAACATTTGATAAAATCCAACACCCATTTTTTATAAAAACTCTCAGCAAAGTGGGAATAGAGGATCATACCTTAACATAATAAAGCCCATATATGACAAACCTACAGCCAACATCATACTCAATGGGCAAAAACTAAAACCATTTCCCCTAAGAACAGGAACAAGACAGGGGTGTCCACTTTCACCACTCTTATTCAACATAGCACTGGAAGTCCTAGCCACAGCCATTAAACAAGAAGAAAATATAAAAGGCATCCAATTTGGAAAAGAGGAAACAAAACTGTCATTATTTGCAGATGACATGATATTGTACATAGAGAATCCTAAAGACTCCACCAAAAAACTACTAGATTTAATAAATGAATTCAGCAAGGTAGCAGGATACAAAATGAACACCCAGAAATCGATGGCATTTTTATACACCAATAATGAACAACCAGAAACAGAAACTAAAAAAACAATCCCATTTACCACTGCAACTAAAAAAATAAGATACCTAGGAATAAACTTAACCAAAGATGTAAAAGACCTTTACTCAGAAAACTACACAACACTGAAAAAAGAAATAGAGGAAGATATCAACAAATGGAAAAATATACCATGCTTATGGATTGGAAGAATTAACATAATTAAAATGTCCGTATTACCCAAAGCAATCTATAAATTCAAAGCAATCCCTATTAAGATACCAACAGCATATTTCATAGATCTAGAAAAAACACTTCAAAAATTTATATGGAACCAAAAATCACCCCAAATAGCCACGGCAATCCTGAGAAAGAAGAACAAAGTTGGAGGGATCACAATACCAGATATTAAGTTATACTACAAAGCCACTGTAATCCAAACAGCCTGGGACTGGCACAAGAACAGACATATTGATCAGTGGAACAGAACAGAGAACCCAGAAATTGACCCATGCCATTATGGTCAATTAATATTTGGTAAAGGAGGCAAGAACATACAATGGAGTGAAGACAGTCTTTTCAATAAATGGTGTCGGAAAAATTGGACACCATTTTTTGCAACACCAAAAAATTGGTGTTGCAAAAGAATGAAACTGGACCACCAACTTACACCATACACAAAAGTAAATTCAAAATGGATAAAAGACTTAAATGTAAGGGATGAAACCATAAAAATCCTAGAGGAAAACATAGGCAGTAAAAATCTCAGACATCTCTCATAACAATATGTTCGCTGATACATCTCCTAGGGCAAGAGAAACTAAGGAGAAAATAAACAAATGGGACTGCATCAAAATAAAAAGCTCTGCACAGCAAAGGAAACCATCAACAAAACGAAAAGGGAGCCCACTGTATGGGAGAACATATTTGCCAATGACACATCAGATAAAGGGTTAATATCCAAAATATATAAGGAACTTATACAACTTAACAAAAGGAAGACAATCCAATTAAAAACTGGGCAATGGACTTAAATAGACACTTCTCCAAAGAGGACATACAAATGGCTAAGAGACATATGAAAAAATGCTCAAGGTCACTAATCATCAGAGAGATGCAAATTAAAACCACAATGAGGTATCACTCATTGTGGCTACTATCAACAAGTCAACGAACTACAAGTGCTGGTGAGGGTGCAGAGAAAAGGGCATCCTAGTGCACTGCTGGTGGGAATGCAGACTGGTGCAACCACTATGGAAAGCAGTATGAAGTTTCCTCAAAAGATTAAAAATTGACCTGCCATTTGACCCAGTGATCCCACTTCTAGGAATATATCCTAAGGAACCCAAACACCATTCGCAAAGAACTTATGCAGTCCTATGTTCATAGCAGCACAATTGATAATAGCTAAGATTTGGAAACAGCCCAAGTGCCCATCAGTAGATAAGTGGATAAAAAAGCTGTGGTACATTTACACCATGGAGTACTACGTGGCTGTGAAGAGGAAGGACCTTTTGGGCTTTGGCACAGCATGGAGGGAACTAGAGACTATTATGCTAAGTGAAATGAGCCAGTCAGAGAAGGACAAGTACCACATGATCTCATTTATATGTGGAATATAATAAACAAAATAAACTGATGAACACAGTGGATCCAGAGACATAGAAGCTTGGAACAAACTGAGGGATCTCAGAGGGAAGGCAGGGTGCGTGTGTGTAGATGGGGAGAGATTAATCAGGGAACTTGAATGTTTATGGGCATGGCCCATGGATATGGACATTGGTGTGGAGAGGGCCTAGGGGTGGGACAGATGTGGGGTAGAGGGGATCAGTGGGGTTAAAAGGGGAACATCTGTAATGGTCTCAACAATAAAGATAAAGGCAATAAAAATAAATAAATAAAAAACAAAACAACAACAAAAAAATATTTTGCATTTTTCTGTATGTATGTTATTTGTGTAATTTAAAATATTTATTTATTATTTTTTTAATCCTCACTCAAGGATATTTTTTCCATTGCTTTTCAGAGAGAGTGGAAGGGAGAGAGAGAGAGACATTGATGTGGGAGAGACACATCAATTGGTTCCCTCCCTCACGTGCCCCAACTGGAGCCAGGAGAGAGCCTGCAACTGAGGTACATGCCCTTGAGTGGAATCAAAACCCGAGACCCTTCAGTCCGCAGGCCGATGCTCTATCCACTGAGCCAAACCGGCAAGGGTGTGTAATTACTTTTTAAATTTTTAATGATTTTAAAATGCTTATTTATTTCAGAGAGAGGAAGAGACGGAGCGAGAGATAGAAACATCAATGATGAGAGAGTTATTGATCAGCTGCCTCTTGCACACCCCCTACTAGGGATTAAGCCAGCAACCCTGGCATGTGCCCTGACCAGGAATCGAACCATGACCTCCTGGTTCATAGGTTGATGCTCAACCACTGAGCCACGCTGGCCATGCTAATTTTTTTTTTAAAGAGGGCAGAAGGCCTGGGTGATATTATGGTTGGTGATATTATACCACACACTGAGGAATCTGATTGATCTTCCAATTCTTTGTACATGACTTCTAAACACAGAACAAAACAGAAAGGTAATAACTAGGAGAACAGAAGTTGAAGGTAAAATTCTCAACTGACACACAGGGAAAATGGGTGGAAGGAGGGATGTACAACAAAATATATTTCTTTGGTTGAGTGCTCTATCTTCTGTCTTGGTTGTCTATTAAAGTTTAAATAGTGTTGATAGTAATAAAATGATGTTACAAAACACTAAATTTACTGGATCCCTTTCAAAGAAGAGATTATGGTGCTTCTACTTTGGTTGCACCAATTCTCAGCTTCTTTAGGAATGGAGCACACTATCCTGGAGTGGGCAGCTAGAAAGAGAATTCATTGTAACCATTCTTTTCCAAAGGTATCTTCCAAACCTTCCTCCAACACTGACCCAGGCAACTACATTGAAGTGAATGATTTGATCACTCAGATACCCTCTGAAGGGCAGATACAAGATATTACTAAGGAGCTACACTGCCAACTGTGTAATGATTGGTTCCAGAATCCACTGATGCTAACCTGTGGCCACAACTTCTGCCAGGCCTGTATTCAAAAATTTTGGAAGCAGCAAGCAAAGGAAACATTCTGTCCTGAGTGTAGGATAACATGTCAGTATGGCAACTGTGCATTCAACCTTGTATTGGAGAAGCTGGTAGAGAAGATTAAGGAGCTGCCCCTACTCAAGGGCCATCCACAGTGCCCAGAACATGGAGAGAACCTGAAACTGTTCAGTAAACCAGAAGGGAAACTGATCTGCTTTCAATGCAAAGATGCTCGGCTGTCTGTAGGACAGTCTAAAGAATTTCTGCGGATCTCTGATGCTGTCCGTTTCTTCATGGTGAGTGAGCCCTAGGCCTTGAACAATCCCTTAGGCAAGCTGGGGGAAAATCTTCTGTACGGCTGCTTCTCTCTTCTAATTTCACCCCTTTATTCAGATGATTATTAGAAAGCTCAGAATGCTCAGAAAATACAATATATCTTACAGTGTTCTTTCTCTAGAGGTGCTGATATAGGAAAGGAGAAGTGAAGGAGCTGTGGCCTACTCTTCAAATAATGAAATATTTACCTAAACCCTGCAATGACAGTGCTCTACTAGACACCCTTGTAGAATATGAATGTATACAATATTGCTCTTGTTATAAAAGTCTTGAAATCTAGTCAAAATGAATAAAACCACAGAAGTAATATAAGTTTACTATTGAGAACTAAATTTTGTCACATTAGTAATCTATAAATGTTTAGAATTTCAGACAAGGTTAGAAAAAAACTGAAATATTCAGGGGCTGTATGGAGAAAGAAACTACTGAACGGGGAACCCATTTGGATTTGGTTGGGCAGAAGGCAAACAGTGTTGTGAGAACAATTTAAGTAAAGGTATAGTTAGAACAGTGCAACTAGGGTAGAAAATGTATAGAGTTCTGTTTCCTTCCTCAAAGCCCTGTAGTTAGCTAAGAAGGTAAAAAAACAACTAAGATTTTCTGCTGCTTGTAATTTCCTTCACAATTCCTAGAAAAGACAGGAACTATGACACAGTAGAAAGGAAAGACTTTTGTAGCAAGAGCTTGTTTTTTTTCTGATATGCTGGGGCTTTGGGGGAGATGTCCCTTATGGCCCTTCATCTCCCAAGTCAGTGTGGGTTAATTCTATGTGGTATTCCCAGGAGGAGTTTATTGTCATTAAGGGTCAACTGGAGGCAACCCTGAAGGAACTTCAGTCCCTGAGGGACATGCAGAAAGACGCTATTGTTGCTTACAAGGTGAGGAGCAGGGTAGAGGGTTATGAGATAGAACTAGAATACACCCTCCTTATAACTTTAGTTATTTGGGCGGAAAGGTACCTATACATGTGTTATCAATACACTAAATGACACCTGGGTTATAGAATTTTAAAATGGACACAGTAGGGTGGAAAGGAGTATAGCAGTGGAATAAGTTCCCAATAGTTAATCAACAGAAAGAGCATAATGGCCTTTCCCTTAATATGCTGATCCTTTTGAAGGTTCAGTTGCTGGGTGATTATTGTGATTTGTCTGGTCTTTCCTCTTATTTATAGTAAAATAAGAAATTTATCTATGGCAAATCCACTAAAGATAGCTATGTCCAAAGAAATACCTTTCTTTTCTTTGGGTCTACAACCAGTCTACCTCTGAAACAAGGTCTCTCAGATTGCTGGCTTTTACTATCTGATTTGATCTTTCCTAGCTTCGCCCAAATGAAATAACACTATTGCCTATACTTTCAACTTCACAGGAGCTCTAGGACAACATTAATGGATAGAGACTTGGCAAATCAGTCTCTAGGTTGGGGAGTTAAATTGGGAGTTCTACTTATTTATTAATGATTTATGGAGGAGAGTATTCTTTGGCGTTTGGCATCTGGAAGAATATGCACAGTGAGAGAAAGAAGAAAGATAGATGGAAATAATGACATCTCCAAAGAATCTTGTTCCTATTGCAAGAGTTCTTAGTTCAGCTATTACAATTAACATTCATTCATCAAAAAATATTTATTGAGTGGGTCAGGCATCGTACTAGGCACTATATTCCACTAGGTTGGGAGATGGGTGTTAAATAATCCCACCAATAACAACAAAATAACAATGGTGGTCCTAGCCGGTTTTGCTCAGTGGTTAGAGCGTTGGCCCTTGGACTGAAGGGTCCTGAATTTGATTTTGACCAAGGGCACATACCTTGGTTGCAGGCTCGATCCCCAGCCCCCGTAGGGGTGCATGCGCGAGGCAACCAATGGATGTGGCTCTCTCACATGGATGTCTCTCTCTGTCTCTCTCTCTCTCTCCCCCTTCCACTCTCTCTGAAAAGCAATGGGAAAATATATCCTTGGGTGAGGATTTTTAATAAAAAGCATATTGAAAAAAAAAAACCAACTCCCCAACTGTGATAATTACTATAAATGAAAATACAGGGTGCTATGAGAGCATATAAGTGGAGAACCTAATCTAGACTAAGGGAGGGCTGTTCTCTGAAAAAGTCACTTATTAATAACTGAGAATTGAAAGATAAGTAACTTAACTAAGTGAACTAGACAAGGGGAATATGAAGGAAGTGTTCTGAAGAATGTTCTATAAGAGTAAAGAGTAAAGAGCATATGGAAAAGTCCTGAGAGAGGAGGTCAGTTGCTATGGTAAACAGAGAGAAAGTCAATAAAACTGGATCCTGGTAGGCAAGATGAGACTGAAGAAGCAGATATGGGCCCAAACATGTAGGCCCTTGTAGATAATGTTAGAAAATTTGAATCTCATCCTGAGAATAATGAGAAGCCGTTAAAAGGTTTAAACATGACACGGTTTTTACCTCATTTTGAAAATTTCAGTCTGGTGGCTACAGGGAAAATGAATTGAGAGAGACAATGACAAGGATAATGATTAGAAGGCTACCACAGTGATTCCATAGAATGATGATGGTGGCTTGGTCTAGAGAGGCAGTGGAGACGGAAAGAAATAAACAGCTTCAGCATATTCTTTGGAGATAAAAATAACCTGGATGGGGGGATTCATTAGATGTTAGGGGTAAGTGTAGATGTCAAATAGACAGTTGGATACAGGAATCTGGAGCTTAGCAGTTGGACTAGGCTAAAAATAAGAAGTGAGCATACAGATGGTACTGAAAGCTGTGGGAAGAGAGGATATTACCTATAAAGAGAGTGTAGAATGAAAAGGGAAAAGAGTCCAAGACAGAATATCAAGTAACTATAGAACCAACAAATAAGACTGAGAAATAGTGGTAAGATAGGTAAAAGGAAAACTGGAAAAGTGTGGGCTAGAGGAAAGAGAGAGTTAAGACTATTTTAGAAGTGCAATTACAATGATGGACCAGAGAATCCAAGCTGGATAAGAGGGGACATAAAGGCAGAAGAAGTTGAAGGAATAGAAATGAAGAGGTCAATATACAGGTTTCAGTGAGACCCAATAACTGCAATAGGGGTACCTGAGTGAGTATAAAAAGTTAATTTTGGAGATGGTGAAGTTTCTGGGGATGATAAAATCCTCAGTGTAGCTAAGAGAATGAGTAGATAGAAGGGGAAATCACTAGAAATGAGAATAAGGAACCAAGAAGCCAGGATATCAGATGGCTCACCCGTGAGGATGTTGAGGTCACCTAAGGAAAGAGCTGCAAGTGCATCAGTTATCAATTTCAGTGCTTCAAACATTTCCCATCTCTTCTTTTACATTGTCCTGGCAGCAGGAGTGGTATCCCCCCAGTTCTGATGTTCTGATTTCTTAACAAGGACATTTCTCTTTCTGCCTCCTTATGGCCCCAGTCTAACAGCATCACTTGGTACATACTGGTTTATACTTCTGGGCAGGAGGGTATTATCATTCATTCTTATTTAATATGGCATCAGTTACCACCTCAGTGCTGCGATAGGAACCTGGAGGTCACTTCTGACTATTTCATTCTGAATTATTAAACTAGCTGAGGAAGGTGGAGTAAGTCTCCCCGCCTGCCACAAAATGGGCTCCTTTTAGTATGGTTGAATATTGAAACTCAGAGGCCATTTTTATGCATTTTCCTGTTATGGTATTTTCCAAGTGGTGTGGGCCCCCACCCCTAAGTGCTAGTCTCAGTAATTACCATGGTAATGATTATGGAGGTTTCCAGGAAAACAAGCTACATCTGCAGCAACACATCTCCTTGGAGTTTCTAAAGCTGCATCAGTTTCTGCATGGCAAAGAAAAGGACATTTTAAATGAGCTCCGGGAAGACGGGAAAGCCTTGAATGAGGAGATGGAGCTCAATCTGAACCAGCTTCAGGAACAGTGTCTCCTAGTCAAGGAGATGTTGGTGAGCATCCAGGCACGGATGGAAGAGCAAGACTCCTTCAACTTTCTCAAAGTAAGACTCCATATCAACATGACTGTGGGTTCACCACTAGGGGAAAGAGGGTCGGAAAGGATATGGAAGCAGTTTTCCCCACAGGGAGAGGGAAAAGCACTCTGCTGGGGGCTTTAAACAAAAAGATTCCCTGGGAAAAATAGTAGGAGGCTACTTTTGCTTTACACTCAATAGAAAACTTTACTTTCACCCTCCTAGAAAAGAAGATAATAAAATGCCAGTAATAACAGTATGTATTAATATTTTAATATTTCCCCATAAAGAACTTTGGAGGTTTATCTCTCAAAAATAAAAATGTTGCAACTTAAGCTGTATCTTTGGCTCTCAGTAATCATAAATTGACCTGTTTGAAAAGCTGTTTGCCAATCTTTGCTAACTGAAGGTTCACTTCTAAAGTGGCATTGGTTACCACCTCAGCACTCAGCAGCTTAGCTAGCCAGAGTAAGGAAAAGTGGCCTTGGGGTGGGAAAACCTACTGTGTTTTTCTCCTGAGATTGTGGCAGTATAGGTAAATATAGCTTAACCTTAACTTCTCTCATTCCATATAAAAGGGAGCTAGAAAATAAGAGCAAGATAAAGCCAGTTTATCTTGGGGTAGATGAAGGATGCAGATCAGAAAAGACATGTGGAGGATGAGAGGTAGCAATGGGATGGGGACTGTCTGCACTGGATCCCAGTATTAACAATCAAATTCTGGTGGTAGCCAGTATCAGACATTTCTGCAGTTGATGAACAGGCATCTAACTTTTCTATTTCTCCTTTCCTCTCTAGGATATCACATCTTTCTTGGATAGGTAAGTGGTGTTTCCATATGGTATTTGTACCCTACCTTCAGTCCCTGGAGGATGTCTAAGAATAAATGATTTATGTCCCTTGCAGCTTGCAGAAAGGAATAAAGGTGCTGACACCCAGAGAGCTTCTCTCCAGAAAGCTGAACCTGGGCCTGTACAAAGGTCCCATCCAGTATATGATGTGGAGGGAAATGGAGTCCATTCTTTCTCCAGGTATCAGTGGGTAGTAGCTATTGGTACCTGGAGCTCCTAATGTATGTTTCGTCTGTGGGACCTCTTCTGTGCCCTAATTAGTATGTTAGAACCTGGGACAAGGGGAAGGGTAGAGTTTAGCAAAAGAAGGCTAGTTGATATACTAAATTTCTTCTGGTACTATGACCTAAGAATTCATAGCTTTTTACTGGTAGAGTCTAATGTCAGAATTACCTTTGAACCTATGATTTTGTTTAATTGTCCTATCAAATGTGACAACAAATATTTTATCCTGTTTTGCTAAATCAGAAATATAAGTCCCTGGAACTTTTCTGCCCTGAAGAAGGAATTTATTGTACATACTCTTTGAATGTAATAGGGTCTTTATAAGTCCTCTTGTGTTTGATGTTCATAATATAGAGCATAATCTCTTAGGAGATTGTTTAGAGATCTTCAGTGCTTCAAAAGAAAACCAGTAATTTCAACAGGTATGCCTAATATGAAAACTGTTTTTTTCATCCTGCTGATAATAAATAATTGAGCAGGAAAAAGAACACAAAGAGCATTTCAAGAACATAAAGTTCTAAATACAATTCTTTAGAAACAAAGTTCTAAATAAAGTTTTTTAAAGAATTCATATAGACTCATTATTATTAGTAATTACGGACTTAATGAAAATCATAAATCTATCCCAGTTAACATTTTTCCAGGTAATTGACATAAAAATATCAGCTTTACTGAAATACAACTAACATAGAACTCATAAATTTTGTTGTTAATCTTCATCATTTAAAAAAATTTATTGAATTTATTGGGGTGACATTATATACCATTATATAGGTTTCAAGTGTACGATTCTATAATACAAAGTATTGTGTTCACCACCCAAAGTCAAGTCTCCTTCCGTCATCATTTATCCCCCTTTACCCTCTTCTACCTCCCCCACCCCCATTTCCCTCTGGTAGTCACCATACTGTTGTCTGTGCCCATCAATAGATGAGTGGACAAAAAAGCTGTGCTACATTTACACAATGGAATGCTACTGGACTGTAAAATAAAAGGAAACCTTACCTTTTGTGACAGCATTGATGTACCTGGAGAGTATTATGCTAAGTGAAATAAGCCAGTCAGAGAAAGACAAATACCATACGATTTCACTTATATGTGGAATCTAATGAACAAAATAAACAAAACAGAAACAGACTCATAGATACAGAGAACAGACTGACAGCTCTCAGATGGAAGGGTACTGGGGGACTGGGAGGAAAAGGTGAAGGGATTAAGGGGGGAAAAACCTCTTAGGCATAAACTTACTATTTTACAGTGTACAATACGATGAGTTTTGACAAATGCATATATTTATGTAAACATCTCCAAAATCAAAGTATAAAAGAATTCTATCATCCATTTGTCTCTTCTGGCTGGTCATTTTTTATTGGATGCCAAACATGATCAGTTTTATATTGCTATTTCCTTGATTTTGTTGTAATCTTTTAAGCTCTACTGGATTTAACTTTGCTGTGTAGGTAAGTTATTTGAAATAATTTTGTTTCTTCTGACACTTTCTTTAAGCTTTGTTAAGGTTTTTAAGCTTTGTTAAAGTAGTTCAACAGCAGCCTTTAAACTAGGGCTAATTTAGCCCATTTTCTAAGGTAATATAATTCCTTTGTGAGTACCCTGTCTGATGTTCCATACATTATAACATTTTCCCATTCTGGATGGCAAGATTGAAAATTATTCCCAGTCTTGTGTGAGCTCTAAAAAATTGTTCAGCCTACTGCTTTCCAGAGATTCATTCACTGGCCCTAATGAGTTTCACTGAAAATCAGTACTCAGCCACAGCCTTGAGGGAATCCCTTTGTAGATGTTCAAAAGTCTATGTGCAGCTCCCTCCTCTGTGTTACTTTACTCTGCAAATTCTAGCTGTCTTGAGATAACACTGTGTTTTTCTTCCAAGTGCTCTTTGCCCTGTAAAATCAAACTTTATGTCTAGCACTCATTTAAACCACAAATTGATTTTTCTTTATTTTTGGTATAATTTTACATCCAAGAAAATCAAATGGGATTTAATATATGGCTGTTTTACTAAAAATGTAACTGTGATCAAACCTTGGTAAAATACACTTCATACTTCATATTTCTAGGCCTTTGCTTATTCTGCATGTTTATATTTTCTCCTTTCCTGCCTTATAATAGATGCTGTTGCTTTAGGAAAGGGGTTGGCATTTTTTTATATATAAATGGTCAGATAGTAAAAATTTTAGGCTGTGTGGGCTATATGGTGTTTGTAGAATTAATGAATATGTTGTGGCATCTATATGTATAATTTTGTGATTTTCCTCCTGCAGTGGTAGGAATTAGGATGTGAATTTGAATAGCTGGATAGATCCAGAGTTAGAAAGTTGCATGACAGGTGCTGCAGAAAATAAAAGTGTTGAGGTTATTGGCAACAAAGCTGCCAGTGCTAAGCTGTTTAAGAAAGGTTTTTAAGCCAGGAGGTAGATAGCTTGGGGTAACAAGGAGAAGGGACTGGCTTAATGAAGAAGTGAAACAATGGTTGTAGGAGGAAATGAGAGTGAGAAAGCTCAAAAAATAAGACAATGGGATATCTGAGCTTAAGATTTTAGAGAATGAAGAGTTCCCAATTACTACAAGGTCCAGAATATGGTCATTGACAAGGACAGCTGAAATGGAGTCAAAAGTCACTAACAATGAAGTTAAGGACCTGCCAGAATGGAAGATTGGTTATATATCCAGAGACAGTGAAATCTCTTGGGATGATGGGCTGGAGTTGGGGTAGAGGAGTGAAGTTAACCCAAAGTGCAGGAAGTGTAACAGGAAATTTGTACATGACATCATCAAACACAGATAGAGAGTAATATGAAATTGAACAGCAAGAGCCTCCAATGAAAAGTGATTTAAAAATCGTAAGGATGAGGAGTAGAGTGGGGGCTGGAAGTGGCAGTGGTGGCTATTGGATCACTGGCATCAGAATTTAGAAAATAGTCTTTTGAACTTTGGGAATCTTTATTTTTGGAGGAAGAACCAGCCAGGCTTCTGTTAGAGTAAGGAGGTGATGAGAGAATTCTGTAAACTGAGGATGCAAGAGAGTTCATTAGGAAGGGAGTTAGTTCCAAAGGGCAGAGTGGAAAGGGTTTGGTGGGAGCAGTGGGAGGATGGGTGAAAGCAGAGGAAGTAAAGAACACAATAATGGGGACAAGAGCACCTTAGAGGATAAATCATTGGAGGGCTCTACATTTTGGGTGCTGGCCAAGGATAACAGGAATATGAGCCATGGTGGAATTAGTTGGTGCCTAGGCTTCAATTGGAACTTCGAAGTTCACTTATTTATTTAACAAACAGTTCCTTGAACACCTAAGAACAGTTCCAAATTTTGAAGATATATGAGGAAACAAAACAGATGAAGTCGCTGCCCTTCCAGAGATTACATTCTGGTGGGGGAGATAAATTACTGGTGTTTATGTAAATACTGCCTTTTACTATGGGAATTTGCATTCACCCCTTTTCTCCCATTCTCTTATTTTCTAACTAGGCTTATCTCCATTAACTCTGGACCCTAAAACAGCGCATCCAAATTTGGTGCTCTCCAAATCCCGAACCAGTGTGTGGCATGGTGACATTAAGCAGGAAATGCCTGATGATCCAGAGAGGTTTGACTCAAGTGTGGCTGTGCTGGGCTCAAAAGGCTTCACATCTGGAAAATGGTACTGGGAAGTAGAAGTAGCAAAGAAGACAAAGTGGACAGTTGGAGTTGTCAGAGAATCCATCACTCGGAAAGGCAGCTGTCCTCTAACTCCTGAGCAAGGATTCTGGCTTTTAAGACTAAGGAACCAAAATGATCTAAAGGCTCTGGATTTGCCTTCTTGCAGTATGAAACTGACTAAAAACCTCGACAAGGTGGGCATATATCTAGATCATGAAGGAGGGCAGGTGTCCTTCTACAATGCTAAAACCATGACCCACATTTACACCTTCAGTAGCACTTTCAAGGAGAAACTTTATCCCTACTTCTGCCCTTGCCTTAATGATGGGGGAGAGAATAAAGAACCATTGTGCATCTTACATTCACAGTAATTAGTCATACTATACTGTGTAAATTCAGAGTGTTATTAAAGAACTACTGAAATAGTTTACCAGTCTCACTGGTTTCTCTTCCCAATTTAATAATGAATAAATGAAAAGAGGATTCACAAATTAAACTCCATTCTCAGTGTCCTAAGTGGATTTTACCAAAGCCTTTCAAGATGTCATTCTAATTCATTAGGATCCTCTATGACACAGGAGCCTCTCTCATGAGAGTGATCATCATGCTATCGTTACTGAATAAAACTGCAACTTGAGTTTGTGATATCTGGGAACCCTTGTCAAATGTGCCCAGACATTCTATTATGCTGTCATTAATCTCCAGCATAATGACACATATTAGACGAATTTTCGTATATATACTCTTCTTCCTATTTAATTTTCTTTTTTAAAAGAAATCCTTACCTGAGGATATGTTTTTCATTGATTCTAGAGAGAGTGAAAGGGAGAGGGACAGACAGAAAAACATCAATATGAGAGAGAAACATTGATCAGTTCCCTCCCGTAGGTGCCCCAACCAGGGATTGAACCCACAACCTGGGTATGTTCCTGGACCAGGAATCAAACTCTCGACCCTTTGGTGCTTCAGGAGGACGCTCAAACCAACTGAGCTGCACTGGCCAGGGTTTAATTTCCTTTTAATATAACTTTTGCAACACATTTCTTTTCTAGAACTTGTTACTGTAATTAAAAAAAACACCTGTAATTTAAAAAACAAAGCTGCTCCAGAGATTTAGAGAAAAGAAAAAAAAAAGAAAATAGTCTGGGCCAGTTTATAATCTTGTCTTGAATTATCTCAATATACTTTTTAGTCCAGTGAACCTCTGACTCTTTCTCAGCCCCTTTTTCTTGCTTTATCTATCTATGGGGGCACTTTATCTATCTATGGGGGCACTTGTTTTTCCATATTCAAATATATTTAACCATTTCCATTTGCTATGTCCTTTTCATCATTCCTGTCTATAATTTAAATTTCAGTATTTTTCATCTTGTCCTCTCCAATATACTCATCCTCCAGCTTGTTCCATCTTTCTAAGTCTAAAGTACTTAGCATCATTGATCTCAGCCGTACCCTTGATGAACCATCCCCATTTCCTTTCCTTAGACGTTTCACATAACTGGGTTTCATTCTCTATATCTGACAGGATTTTTTTAGGTGAGGGGAATGGGTATTTAGGACCTGCAGCAGTGGCCATCTAAAATCATAATAAGCACAGCTCTTTGGCAGGGTGAAAGCCCCCAATTTGTAATAATGGAAAGGATACACACACATTACAGGTAATAGTCATGTATCATTGGCATACATAATACACATACACTCATAGCTGCTGACTTAGGTAAACAGCCATGACATAATTATGCTACATTTATTTCTTCATTTATTTTTATTTTATTTTTATTTAAAATATTACAAATGTCTCTTTTTCTCCCCAATGACCCGTTCCCCCCCATCCCTTCCC